AAACTATCAGTTCAGTGACGCAACATTCAGTGGCGAAACAAAAAAGTGTAATTAAAATCATTTTAAAAATTTTAATTATACTCAGGTGAAAATAGCATCGAAACAACATTATTATTCTGAACATAAAAATAATGCGATTTTAATATACCTTTGATTTTTTCTTGATTTCTCAAAATTGAACTGAATCCAAGTTCATTTTTTCGTTGTTTTGTATCGTTTTCTGTTTTATAAATTACAGATATTTGAAAATCTTGTAATGCTAACGCAAAATCTGCTGCTAACCTTATCTCGCTTCGACTAGATATAGCTCTTAGGACTGCAATTCGCTTAAAAGTAGCTCCAATTTCCTCGACCATTCATTTCCTATGGATTGCTGCAAAAAAATGCTAGAAGAAATTTTCTGAAAATGTTTTTCAAACACAACCATTGCAGCCATAATTCTTTTGTTTTTAAACTGAAAAGTGTCATTATTGCTGAACACGTGTTTTTCTTTGATTCGATCAGGAATAAAGTAAAGGATTTTGTCATTGTACGGTATAAGTGAAGACTTTGTATGATCAGTTGAATCAAAACCCTGGCAAATGTTTTTAACTCAATAATTCAGACTGCAAGGTCATGATTGAAACTTGATTTTGACCAAAATGAGCCGCTTGCAGTTTATTTTGATTAAAACACCTAGCGTTTTCAGTCCAATCAATTTGGATTACCGCAATTTCAGAATTAATCCCCATCAAAACCGCCTTTAGTTTCTTAAAAATTTTTGATTGGTTTTTCTTTACAAATGTGTTTTTAACGAGTTTATCACGCATCGTTGATATGTGTTTGATGAGTTCTGTTACAGTAGACTTCCATGAAATTTTTTCAATGTTTGCATATGTTTTAGTTTCAGGTTTTCTCCACTCGTCCCAGGATTCTTCAAAACCAACAGTTTGCAAGTGTTTATCGAACTGCTTCATACTTGCATGCAACGCATTTGTCATAGGCCCAATCGTATGTGTACAGTTCACATACAAAGTTATTTATTATTTCAGATCAACTTTGATTGAAGACGCTTGAATTGTTTTTTTTAATGCATCTAACGCAAATCGCATATTTTCATGCAAACTACATGCACAAATTTTGTTACAGATTTCACATCAACATCAACGAAGGTCGCAAAATTTGCTGAGTCCAATTTTTATGTGCTGATGCTTTTTCTTGAATAACTCGAAAGCTTCTTTAAGCGTATAATATAAATGGCGTATCAGAATATTGTTTGTTTTTCCGTTAAATAAATGAATTCGAGTGACATCTTTTTTGTTTGGTGAAATTTAGGAAACTTCATCTTCATTATAAAAGTTTAAAACTGGTAAAACATTCAGAAAGAGGATACAGCATTAAACATGCTAGTGGTAAACTTATCTTTACAAGTAGAGCTATTTTAAAAAATAAAAATAATTTCAAATTGTTTATTCTTTGAAGTTGGAACTAGTTTTATAACTTTTTTTTAATGCTTTTCCTCTTTGTTGAAAGTTAAAAGATAAGCTTAGTCTTTGAGATTGATTTTAAAGTTTAAAATCAATCTCTAAGACTAAGTTCATCCTTTTTAGAGCGCGACTTTTTACAACTCTCAATTTTGCATTTGCAGCATAGTCTGCTTTTTTATTAGAGTTGGTTTTTAATTTTTCTCGATATCTCTTAGATCTTACTCTGGATATTTCTTTCTTTTTATCAGCATTCTGAGAAACATAATTAGCTTGGTATTCTGCTTAACGTTTTTTTTATCAGCATTCTGAGAAACATAATTAGCTTGGTATTCTGCTTAACGTTTTTTTTTTACTTCTAATTTTGATTACATTTCTTAAAAATTTACAACTTCATAAGAAAATATCAATTTACATCTAATAATTTTCAAATATTTACTAATAACCCTTCACAATACCAAAAGGCAAAATTTATTCGACTAAAACCCACATGGAAACCGGAAAATTTGGATGATATTTTGACTTTCTTACCACGCTATTTCATGAAACCTAATTATTCCGTTAATGGGTTCAGTGACGCATCAGCTTTTAAACTATAACTATAAGTTAATATAATGCTTTTTAAATATTTTTTTTTTTTTCGAATAGTGAGTGAAAGTTTACATTAAAATAGAGAATTTCCAAACAAAAAAAAGTCCCGATGATGTTTGTCTGACAGGATAAACTAGTTATAAGTGCTGATCCTCATTGAAACGCCAGTAATAATAGACGCGACTCTGAGGAGATGTTTATTACTTAATCACTACACAAATTATGTTTACACATTAGCATCAATGTTTTTTTTTTTCATTCTTAGGCCTTTCATTGTTGTTAGCATTCTTTTTATTTTGTAATCAATTTTTTGTTTTATAATTTTTTTGTTTGGTGATATATTTGTTGTATATCTTTGTTCATATTAGTGTTTATAAAACAATTTTTTTTAAATTGTTATTGTTAAGTACTGTTTTAGGTGCATTGTCTGTCTTATATATATATTTTCAAATATTCTTCTATTAATCTTTATTTTTGTCTTGACAACTGTCAAATTGTCACCAACAGTGTCTCTCGATGTGAGACACTGTTGGTGACAATTCAAAAGAAAATGCTGTTATATAAAAATGAAGGAAAACATGGTGATTCTTTGCAAGGAGCGTATAACTTTTTAATGACCATTAAGCCTATAAGTGTAGAATCTAAAAGTGCTTTTTCTGCGGCCGGTCTTTTTGCAACAAAAATGAGAGGTCATCTGGGCAATAAAACTTTTAATGTGCTCTGCCTCCTCAAAACGTATTTTCAAAGTATTCATAATAGTAATGTAAATTAAAATCTATGAAAGCAACGATTTCTTTATAATACAAAAGATTTTGATTGTAATTTAATAAACATTTTTTTTCTGAAAAAATATTTTAAATGCCTTATTAATTTTATTAAAATTTTACTTAAATATTATGTTAAAGTCTTTCAAGAACAGATATTTAAAAATCCCGGTATTAATTCCAGGTTCCCGAGATTAGGTAAATAGATTGCGAAATTGTTTAGTTAATTTTTTAATTTTTAGTTTACTTTATAATAAACATGGGTCGTAAATGCTGTATCACATACTGCAACAGCAATTATGATAAAAATTCTGAAGATAAAACTTTTTGTCTTCCTCGAACACCAAAAGAAAAAAAAAAGTGGTTGGCTGTTATACCAAGAGACAACGTACCAGATACGAAAGACACCGTTGTTTGTGAAGTGCACTGGCCTGATGAATACGTTTTGACTAAAGATTATGGCAAAGAAATACCATGTAATCTTCTACCAGTGTTTAAGTGTGTAAAACCAAGTTTAATACCTAAACCGTCTGGTTGTCCCAGAACAACTTCAAAATCCTATGCAGAAACTAGAAATGTTCAACCTGACAAGTCATTTGCTTTTAATTTAAAAGATGTTATAAATTCTTTTAATGATCTAAAAACAAACATAGAAAAATATGAATTTATTTTCAATAAAAGTACAATTATTAGTTCAAATCATGGTCAAAGGTTGTCATGGTTAAAAGTTAGGTTGTCATGGTTAAAGGTATAGTAAGGTTGTCTGTTTGTATTAATCATAAATGTTTTCATAATTAAGTTATCTTTAAATATGTATTAATCAAATAATGTTTTTATAGTTAAATTATCTTAAAACATGTTTCATAGTTAAAACGATTGGTCAAAAATATTCTTTAGGTGCTCTAATTCTTGCAACTTTCCTCTACTAAAGTTTGTATAAATATGTAATAACATTGTACGCTATAAATAAATAGCTTATTTATAGCTTAAAAATAAGTAGTTTATTATTTATTTGTTTATATTCATTTTATATGCTAGTAGTTAATATCTATCCCTGCTAAATCTTATAAGTTTGGCAGGGCCAGAACGAAATGCGCATTTAAGTTAAGCAGCCGTGGCGCAGTGGTTAGAGTTCTCAAAGGTTCGAGGATCGACACCACCTCCAACCCAGCAAGCGACATTAGTATGGATGGAGGCGTAAACATCTTTTTAAATGTTCTGCCGCGGTGCTCTATGATAAGGACTTATAAGAGCACCTAAAATAAATACAAAAAAAAAATAATTAAAAAAAAATAGACAAAAGTTGGGACAATGGAAAGGGGGAGGACTAAGTTTTCTTCTATACAAACTAAAAATTATTAATAGTCGATTACCTACAGGTAATCGACTCCTCCTGTTACTCAGTCGCCTTTCGCGTAAATAAATAAAAATAAAAGTATCAAACTGAATTGAATTAACTTTTTATTTAACATTATATATATATATATATATATATATATATATATATATATATATATATATATATATATATATATATATATATATATATATATATATATATATATCAGGGACTACTAAAATAACAAGACGCGAATCTTCAAATCGATGCTAAAACGACGACAGGGCCGATTGTAAATGGCGATGCTAGTTTAATTTAGCAAAGAAGTTATGAAAAACTTACATTAATCTAATTATATTCACATTTTAGAATACATTAAAGTGATATAAATTTATATTACTAATATAATGTATATATTTTTCATCAGTATCGTACTGATAAAATATAGGTTAATGCAATAGAAATATTGGGAGATATTTACAACATTTTTAAAAAAAGTTTTTTTTTTTTTTAAAAAAAGTTTTTGTTTTTTTCGAAAAAAGTTGCTATTTTTATTGAAAAATCAAAAGTTTTTTATTTTTTGAAAGTAGTAGGATTAAAAAATTGTATTAAGTAGTTTTTAATTTGAGTAATTTATTTAAAGTAATGAATCTATTAAGTGTTACAAAATGTTATGTCATATTTATAATAAATAATAATGGTGTTACTATTATTAGTTATAATCAAGCCAAGAAAATGTTAAATAGTTAATTGTACCACAAATTATTTAACATTAACTTCAGAAGAAAAGCTTCATGTTTACATGTTTCCAAGTGACACACAAAAGTTACAATATTAGTTGTCATCTATTCCAAATGCGTTTGAAAAAGTAACTTCAAACATGGGTGTGTGTGAAAAACACTGGCCACCAGGCTGTAAAATGCACAAGCCTCCTCGATCAAAGTTTGAGGTAAGCATCCAAAAAGTTGTTTTTATTGATAAGTTTTACAATGACTAATTTTAATAATATCTTTTTTAGGTTCCTGTTGATCCCCCATCTATTTTTCCTGGATGCACATCTTCAATGGTGCGCCAAACAGTCTCAACACAACCAAGATCTACAAATATAAATAAAATTTCTTTAACATCACGAAATGCAATACCTGATGAATTGGATGATTTCAATCAAATTGATTTAATTAGATTTTATGATGTTGAAATAATGTTGTCTGAAATAAAAGAAAGGTAAAATTAATTTTTTCTCCTCGTTTTATGATATTTGTTTGTTTTGATTTAAAGTTTACTTGTTATTAAATCTATTTTAGATATCCTCAATACTTTGCATTCATTGAAAATTCAAAAGTCATATTGTTTAATGTTTCTCGATCATGTCTACCTGAAACAATATTTTCTGTTGAAATTAACTGTCATTCACGTCAAGTTAGTATTTATTGTAGGCATACAAAAGTTAACTGCTATGACCTGCTCAGTTTTTCTCATTGTCTTACTCGGTGGTCACAGCTTGAAGCTATTGTCAAAAGAGTTTGTACCTCTAGTCCTGAAATAAAAGATGAGGTATTAAGTTTGATTAGTCAAATTGAAAATACATACAGTGACACTTCTGAAGAAATTTCTTTCCTCATTGAACAACTACGCCTCACCACTTATTCCCCAAATGGACTGCGCTTTTTTACTTTATGTATACGTCGTGCACTTGAACTGTATTTGTCCTCCACATGTTGTTATCAACATTTAAGAATTCTGCTTTGTTTGCCCAGTCCAAAGACTCTCATTTCAAAATTAGGAAGAGTTGGAGAAGTTGGAAATGAAAAAGAGTGCAATAATACAATCAAAGTTGTTTTTGAAAATTTTAATAGTTCTGAAAAGTGTTGCTGCCTTCTCTTTGATGAGATGTATATTAAACCAAGTGTTAGTTTCAGAGGAGGACACCTCATTGGATATAGTGAGGAAAATCCCACTAAAATTGCAAAAACGTTATTAGTCTTTATGATTAAACCTATGTTTGGTAAACCTTCTTTTGTTTGTAGAATTGTACCAATATTTCAACTGTCAGTGCACTTTCTTCACGATTTGATTATAAACATAAATAAACAAATAATTGATGGAGGAGGAGAATTACTGTGTCTTTTATCAGATAACCATCCCACAAATCGAAAATTAAACCTATGTTTAGTAAACCTTCTTTTGTTTGTAGAATTGTACCAATATTTCAACTGTCAGTGCACTTTCTTCACGATTTGATTATAAACAAAAATAAACAAATAATTGATGCAGGAGGAGAATTACTGTGTCTTTTATCAGATAACCATCCCACAAATCGAAGTGTTTACCAAAATCTTGTTGTTAATAAAAATTTTCGATGGCAAGGTGTTATAGAAAAAGAAAAACCAGTTATTATGCTACACGATCCAGTTCACTTGTTTAAAAGTATAAGAAATAATTGGTTAACGGAAAAAACACAAACAATTAGTTTAAAAATTAATAATAAACCTCTCTCTGGTGATTGGTCTCACATTGTTCAATTAAATAACAGACAGAAAACTTGTGTAGCCAAAACTACAAAGCTTTCACGCAAGTCAGTGTACCCTAGTCTTATTGATAGACAAAATGTTGCAAATATGGTTGCTGTATTTAATGAAAAAACTGTTGCAGCATTGAGATTAGCTAATTTTGAGAACACTGCCTGTTTTTTAGCACCAATTGTTTCATTATGGAACATGCTAAATGTAAAGAGGAAAGGTTGTGATGTTTTACTTAATGATATCAATAGGTCTCTTTTCCAGACACTCGATGACCTTAGATTTAAAGAAATTTTAGCATTTGCTGATGCAACTTCTAAGATGTCAGAGGGAAAGGGATTAAAGTGTCATAATACTTTTACACCAGAAACAAAACATGCTTTAGTTAACACCCTACAAGGATTGGTAGAATTAATAAAAAAAACTGCTTTCAGAAGATCACCAATATGTTCTTCCTGGTATTTTTCAAACAGATCGTCTTGAAGGTGAATTTGGCATCTACAGGTAAAATTATTTTTGGGTTACTTATAGTAAAGAAAATTTTGTAGATTTGAAATCTAAAAAACAAATATTTCTCTCATTTAATAAAATGTATTATTTTTTAACATACATAAGTTTATTGATGCGTTTTTATTTGACAATTGCTGTTTTAACTATAATTTAATACTCGGTTCAACTCAATTTATTTGGTTATATCTTTTTGCAATTTTTTTGCTTATTTGTAGACAACTAAGTGGTGGAAATTATTTTATCTCAGCAGAACAAGTATTAAACAGTTTGCACCTTCAGCGGTTAAAATTATTCAGCAAAATAGTTTCTTTGGA